GTTCTAGTCTGGACTAATGCAAGACAGAGAAGAAGGGAGGGGGAGGGGGGCAGAGAGAGAAAAAAGAGAGAGAGAGAGAGGGGGGGAAAGAGAGAGAGAGAGAGAGAGAGGGAGAGAGAGAGAGAGAGAGAGAGAGAGAGAGAGAGAGAGAGAGAGAGAGGGGAGAGGGAGACGTATGATGACAAAGGGAGAGAGAGCTTCAACGAATAAGAGAAATAAGGTAAAGTAATCAATGGAGGAATTGGGATAACTGAACATGTATATTCATACTATGTGACTAAGTGGAAGAGGCGACTACAAAACACCGTGAGGAAGATTTTTTCCTGAAACATACAGTTTCCGTCAGCATCACAAATGGAAACTAATCTCAACAGGATCAAGTGACTGAGTTGAAATAACATTGTTCTGTTTAAATGTCTCGTAACTGATTTTTATCAAACAACATTATTTCATCAATATATGTGAGGCATTTTGGCGAAATCTGGCGCTCGTCAAAATAACGAAATCGAAGAAAAGAGCATTTTCCCACCAGTTCGGCAATTTTTATAGAATGTTTGTTTTTTGGTTCAACACCTTTTATGTTCATATAAAAATACATTAAGATGGAAATTTTACTGAAAAACATGTAACTTTTCAGTTTTCTGGGATTCTCTAACTATTGAAGTTACTGAAATTTGGCGGCCATGTTCTCGCTAATTTTACCACTGAAACCAGAAGACCCTACCATCTTCAATCACAAGTATCTCAACTTCTATTCGAGATAGATGGGTTTTTTATTTCATTAAAAGCAAGGCAAATAAATAATCTTTTAGATTTTGCCAATGACTCAAAATGACCTAAAATTTACGAGCGCCTGATTCCACTGCGTCGTGACACATATCACAGTGCTGTCCTTTCTTAAATCTATGAATCTTTCAACAGTTGCCGTTCTCCAAGAACCTTGGCCATCTGATAGCGCCTAACTTCGGCATGGGTTTTGCCCTAGGTGAGAATTAGTCACTTTTAAGGACAAGCGGTTTAACCAAGATTTTGGGGGTTTCCAAAAATCCTGACCTACACCAAAAGTGGGCATTGCCCTACCTATAAGAGAAATATTGTTTCAGTGGTGTGTATATTTGTTTGGTTATAGAAACAAAACTTGTCTGTAAAAGAAACTGAACAAGTGGCAAAAACTTTACCTTCGATTTTCTCAAAACAGCATTTTTCAGATAGCACCCTCGTGCATAAAAGCGACCAATTAGTGTTCAATTTTTAAAGAAATTTAAGGCAGTTGCAACACAGTGTGGTCACACTGTAAGTGCTGGAGGTTAGAAGTGTTACTAGAAAGTAAAATACACAACAACAAAAAAGAACAAACAGAGATGAGGACACTAGATGTTGGACAGGAAAGAAGAAGCGAAGCATACCAAAGCTCCCACAAACCACCCACGGAGAGAATTTCCGAAAGGCTGAGTCTGCTACAGAGAGGAGAAAAGGGCTTATTGAAAAATGTATTTGTTTTTTTTTTAAAGATTTCATTATGTTCCATCCCTCATCAAGGCAATTTAGAACATGTATCAGGTGGATTTCTCAGATTATGTTTGGTTCAACCTATCAGAAAAGGGAACCAATCCATAAAATTTCGCTTTAGTAAAATACATGTTACCGTGTTTTGTGTACAGTGCCATAACGCTAACTACTACACCGCGTCAATGGATGGGGAACTGTTCGTCATGGAAATACTCAATCCTAATCAGATAGCTTGTAAACTGAATAAATTCTATTCATAAAGCTCGCATACCGCTCTAGAAGAATTACAGAAATTTATATTAACCAAACAGCAACAATAATTGCTTCCCTTTATTTATGATTTAAATGTTACTGAATAAATTAAAAGAAAATAATTTTAAGAAAAACATCTACATTAAAAAATTTAAAACTATGTCTACAATATTTTATACGAATAATACGTTTTATATGATTCTGAGAAACGAAATAAGAAGGAATGCTTGTGTTCTAAAACTGACTTCCTCAGGTGTGGTCGTATTTTAAAAAATAATCAGCTCTAAGAATTTTATTTGATTCCGAGAAACAAAATAAGAGAGAAAATTGTAACACCCAAACATGTCTACCACAGGTATGGTGGACTCTTCCATGATGCCTCACATGGGCTACCTGGTGGACCTCCGTCACGTCTCTGTGTACGGCAGTGTCTACGCCATTGCGGACGTGGCCTTTTGTTTGGGTTTTGCCATCGGTGAGTCAGCTCAGGTTTCCCTTAGCCAGCAGTGTTTTTAAGGAAGGAGAGGAGAAAAATATAAGAAGAAGGAAAGAAGGAAAAAGAGAAGGACAAGAAGAAGGTGAAGAAGGAAAAAGAAGGAGGGGGGAAAGAGAAAGAGGAGAAGAAGAAGGAAGGGGAGAAGAGAAAAGGGGGAAGCAGGAGTGAAAGAAGAAGAAGAAAATGAAGAAAAAGAAGAAGAAGAAGAAGAAGAAGAAGAAGAAGAAGTAGAAGAAGAAGAAGAAGAAGAAGAAG